AAACAGTATAAACGTCGCTGGATATCATGGCAGTGTAATATCGTGTAGGGACGATAAAAATCATTATATATCGCACAATCCTGATGTAGATCACATGCATACTTGATTATTGATATTCAGTTCTGTACGTAACATCCTTTTCTTTAAATTCTACTATAAACCTTTCTACTTTCAACTTTTTCTAGTGTCTACATCTTAACTAAACTTGTGACTCTTTTGTAAATTATAATGGTGTGTTTGTCATAAATAGACAGAACGTGCACAGATTGAGGAGGTCAAGATTTTTCATGACTTTTGAGATTTTGTATATCTAGACATTTTTGTTCACCAGAAATATACCAGAAATATAGTTTTGTTCAAATATCTACATTATTAGCTCTGTATGAAAATCGTGTTTAACAGATTGATGTGATTTTAAACAGTATACTCAAAGATAGCCCAGAATAGTAAGCTCGATAAGTGTGTGAGTAGTGTTGAAGAGCGCTTATCTCATCACACAGCAATGTTGGACATAGCGAAGTGGAAACTATATCAACTAGCTGATAAATAGTGGAACTGTTTCATGGACCAGCAGAGTCAAATGCTGAATAGTTGTTTGGTTGTAGTTAACACTTTTTGTTTTTTATTTCAGAAGGCTTTAAAATTTAATAGCACAGACCATAGATATATCTACAGTTCAGACTTTTCCAAAAGACTCTATTCTAAAGCTTTACACAGCTCAAAGATCACTTTGATTTGCGTTTAATGTACGTACGTATGTACCAATAAAACTGAATTTATTTAAATATATTTTTCTGTTCATATTTGGATATACAGTCCGTGTCTGTAACATTTTTTTCTTGCATTATTATTGTTAGTTTATAGGGTCAAAAGGTTGAGGTATAATTGTTTTAAAGGAATTTTCCGAAGGCAGTTATAAGATTGGATTTGCAGTCAGAGCTATTTTGTAATAGTCTGTGTATCCATGTGTATCGCTTTCTGCAGGCTGGCACACTGCCAAAAAAAAACAAAAACGAGATTTGTATTGATGATAAGATTTTGTTACACCGTTTCATAACTGTATTCGACTGTAAGTGTCTGTGTGGCCTCATGTCTGCACTCGGACAGCTGAGAATGTCTCTGTGGAAACTCTGCTATAAGTGTGTTTGTGTCAGAAGGGATGCGTGTGTGCGCATGCGTGCGTGGGCGCGCGCGTGTGTGTGCGCGTGTGTGTGAGTCAGAAAGATAGTGAGGTTTGTTGGAACGTTTATACACACTGAAAGGAAATCTCGAGGCCTGTTAAGAGCTTGAGTTGTAAAATGTCCGTACATACCACATGACGGAGGTGCACACGGAGGTTTCATATTTCAACACGAGTATGAGCTCGAATGCAGGAATTTTCAGTCTGTTAAAGATTAGTAACGTTGCTTAATTACTCTATATGACTCTGCATTCCGCAAGTCCTAATTTTTAACAATTACTAAATTGCGAAAGCTTGTTTTGGATCTGCATTAAACTGCCGCTATGCTTCAAATGACAAAATAACGAAACACATATTAATAGTGCCTTATTCTTTTGCAATATTTGCATGTTTAAAAAATTATTACAGTACATTTTGCAATAGTAGCCATGCCGTTAAACGCTAAATTCAGTGTATAGGGTTTGGTCGGGGTATTTTGAGTATCGGACTTGTATTTTGCTGCTTGTAAACACTCGATGTGACTTTATATGCCACAAGTCCTAATCTTTAACAATTGCTAAATTGCGAACAAATGGCAAAATAACTGAATGAACAAGAACTTCAGACACTTTGGGCTGTGTGCTGAGCAGAGTTCACAATACCGCAGCATTGCCAGGTCTGTTTTGCTGCAGGAAACACACATTTTTAATAGCGTCTTATTGTTTTGGTGTATTTGCTTTTTTTTTTTTTTTTTTTTTTTTAATATTACAGTATTTTGCAACAGCAGCCATGCTGTTAGTCTCTAAAATTCAGTGTCTAGGGTTTGACTGTTTTTATTTTGCTACGCAGATAAAGGATGGGAAATGGATATTGGATATGGTGGCATATTTGTGTTTATCCCTTGAAAGTGTTCCACAACTGCAATCACACGTACAAACAGCTGACCCAGAAAGCAAACTGCCCCTCCTTGCAATGACTCAAGCAACCACGTGATATTTAGATATTTAGCCTAATTCCTAATAGGGGAAGGTCTCAGAACAGAATCAGTGTTCTGTTTCACAGCTCGTGCACACTGTGCTGTACGGAAACCCCCGTGTTTTTCTCTCTCACAAGACGTCATTTTGTGTCAGAAAATCATTTTTGTTTGAAGCATACCACCAGCTTAATGGGGCAACTTCAAAACTTGAAAAATGATGAACAAAGCTTGCAGGAATCTGATAAAAAAAAAAAGGATGTGGTTAATGGGATTTGTGATAGTTTGAGTACTAACATCAGCATAAAAACTGAAAACTGCCTTTGGGTGGTTGATTGCGTCAAATTCTCACATGACAAAATCACTGGAGGCTTTACTGTATGTGCCGAGTTCACTGATATGACTGCGTTTGCCTGGAGTTTGCCCCAGATTTAAAACGTTAGTCCTAGTCACGATCAGGGCTGTGCATTTGATCAGTAATCAGTGGAGGACCAATATTAACGTACGACATAGCGTATCGTGTTTGCTACACGTTGCTATCATTGTCCATATTATGCAGCCTGACAATTAACTGTGTGTTTGTGCAAATTGTTACACACTCGGTGCTGTGTGTTAGGTGTGCACTGATAATCAGCAGTCAAACAATCAATATATCAAGCTATGCACACACTTGATACTATCATAATTCAGTTATCCTCACTACTATGACTTTCCATTTATCTAACCTGTGAAGCTAGCTGAACAAATCTCATATCTGAACAAATGTCACATGCACAGGAGTGGACAAATGATATATTCATTAGTTAGCAAGTGAAAGCGTCAGTGTGCAGCTCAGTCCTGTGTTTTGGAAATCTAAGAGTTAGATTTAGATTTATCTGTTCTAAATGTTAGCAGAGGATTTAATATTAAAATTTTGTGCCTAATCTTCAAAATGATAAAATGTTATAATTTTTTTTTTTTGTTTTTTCCATGTTATTATTTTTTTTTTTTTATAAATAAAATTTATTTTTTTAATATAAATAAATTGTAGGTATTATATAAATTATTGAACCATTATTTTTATTTTTTACAAATGTTTTTTTAATATAAAAAAATACTTTTATCGCAATCACAATATCGTGATATATGATAGATTTGTCATATGGCCCACCCCTGAGCAATATTTTAATATAATTGTAAGCAGGCTGTGAAAAATTTGACAGTGTATACCAGCACATGTCTACTCTTCAGAAACAGTGAAAGTGTGAAGGCAGTGTCTCCGAGCAGCTGCATTCTCACTGTGCACTACTCTTCTTTTTGCAAATTTGTGGTTTTACTTGTGGTGAGCTGTGATCTTTGGAGACTTTATCACATTGATGTGGTATAGATGTTGTGAGAACAGATGCCAGTAAGAAGGTGGGAAGCTCAGAGGACCTTGAAGGAGGTTTCAGTGCTTGGGGGTTTCCTGTGCATTAACCCATATACATATTAACACATTCAGTTCACACTGTTCTTCCTACATCCTCACATGACAGGTGCAAAACCAAAATCCACATTTCAACAGGGAACTGAAGAATTCTGTAGTTTCTATTATTTTGGAGCTTTTTATACCCAGAAATGTCTGCTTATTTCTTCACTAGAAAGCGGCACGAAATATCAAAAATATTCTAAACATGCATGATGAGACAGCATGATGAGGCAGTTTTCAGGTTTGAATAATTGATTTCAAGTTATTGTACATAAAGCTTATACTTGACTTGTCCCTGATGTGTTGCCGTAGGTGGTTGTTGTGGATCTGATAAGAAGACCTACGCAGTTGGAGGATGGGCGTGGGCATGGTGGCTCCTCACAGACATTCAAAGGTAAGAGTTAGCTGTTAATAGTTCTTCTTTTTATTCTTTTTATGTATATTGTCTTCCTTTATATTCTGAGCTTCTGCAAATTTAACTCCCACATGGACATGCTTAATGCTTTCAGTAGTGTCTCACATGATGCAGCCTGCGACAACTGAGCAGTCGCTAAAGCTGCAAGTTTTTATGGAGCTTCCTGGGCATCAGTGATTAATTACCTCGAAGTTTACAGTACATTATATTGATGAAACTCGTAAACTATGATTAGATGCTGTAGCTACAGTGAAATCAGAAGAAGCACTTTGCTACTAATGCAGCGGGACTTGTCACCTTTAGTGGAGATAGTACACGGAACCAGACTGCAAGCAGCTCCCGTTTGAATATCACAGCTGCACTTATTCATCAAAGTTGCGTGTGGTCATAGAGATCGTAAAACGAGAGTATGCAAATTCCACAGTTGCTGTATTCATCAATTTCATGTAACATTTTCATTTAATGTGAAAAATAATTCATTTGCAATAAATAATAAATCTTGGTGTAAAATATAGGCGTCATCATGTAGTTTGTAAATGTGAATCAGAGGAACAGACGTGAGCGTTTTACAAGGGTGAGTCAAATGAAAACCTTAAAAGTGTGACATAAGTTAGAATTGAATTTTTTCTAGAGGAATCCGGACACTCATTAAGCACTGGAATGCGTGCATTAAACAAAATGAAGATTATGTTGAAAATGGTACATTTTGGTGACACCAATCTGCAGTAAACAATGCAAAATAAAAAACTTACAAATATGACTTCAGGATTTGTTTCTGATCAGGATGCAAACATAATTCACCTATATTTTTCAGTGAAGATTTAATTAAAGCGGACTTGAGTTTATTCTGACCTAAGTTCGAGTGGATCCCCTTCTATTGTCCGCATATTGATTTGGCACAGGTTTTACGCTGGATGCCCTTCCTGACGCTACCCTCCCCATTTATCCGGGCTAGGGACCGGCACTGAGAGTGCACTAGCCTGTGCACCCCCGTGACTGGGGCTGGCGCCCAGCGTGGGGCTCAAACCCACGATCCTGAGATCAACAGTCCCATGCTCTACCAACTGAGAAAGGTGCAAATGTAAAAATACTTGTTGGTCATTTGCGAAAATCAGAATTAATTGCGCATTATTTTAATAGTTTGCAGCCCTATACTTTACTGTAGAATTAACATTATTAATAGGTTATCAACCTGTACTTAATGTAACATTACCATTACTAACAGGACTATTTTACAGTATTATTGTGTGAGGTGTTTTGTTGTTTTGGTTGTTTTCAGACTAGTGAATGCTGAAAAAATGTTAGAAGGTAAAAAGTTAAATGCTGTAGTCCAGCCACCTCAACAAGTTGAAGCATTATTCAGGCAGAAAGCTGTTTTTTCAGTGTTATGGAAATAATATGTGCTGATGTTCAGGGGTAGATAACACATCCGTCAGTTCCTGAGGAGCCAAACTAGATGCCCCACAAATAGTCTGTATCCTGCATATGTATATACACACCGTTTATCACCAGATCAGTTCATTGCTTCTACACACACACACACACACACATACTGCGGTGTGTGGAAAAACAAACACTATCAATTTTGTTGCAAGGTCTCATGAAGTTCATCTTTGTTACATTCAAACAAGTGGACTAGTCTCCTAGTTCTACTCAGTAAGTGAAATTATGTGAAAAGAAACAAACTAATGCTACATTAATCACTATCAAGTCTCATATTACACTGAAATATATTTAAATATCCTGCTTCAGGTATCAAGTACTCTTTTCACATCATTCTGATGCCAACTGCTTGGTCCTAACCTGCTGTTTTTATGTATCTGTGATATGTTTTTAATCAAATGTCGACTGAAACGATTGCTGTTCCTAAATTCTTGATGTTTGGTTTCTGTTCTCTAAAAGTTCTCTAAATGCCATCCTTTGTGTGCAACATGCTAACCCGCCTTGCTCTGTGTTCAGTTTCGTCTTTGGCTGAAACGCATTCGCTGGGATCCTAAGCTTGCCGCTCGGTAAAAGAGAGCCTTGTGCAGAGGGGCGCTGTGCCAAAAATATTTTGGATGGTGGGTGTGTGTGTGTGTGTGTGTGTGGAAGGAGACTGTTGTTAGTAACTGAAAGGCATGTGTGGAATTCCATACCAGATATTTGTTGGACTTGCCCCGTATATACATCACAGCGACTTCCCAGAAGGAGCAGCCATTACTGTGCAGCCGATGAAGACGTGCATGTTTGTGGATTGTGAAAAGCTGAGCTTGTTCCTGGTTGTGAGGTCAGGGTGGTGTTCGGGAGTTCTTTGTCCCCTCCATCTTCCTGCCACAAAGCACAGCAATCTGCTTAGTGGCTGCTGTTAGTGTCACACTAATCTAATTTGATGAAATGGAGGAGGAGAAGCAGAGCCAGTGTTTGTGTTTTCAGGGTAGCAGATGTGCACAGACTGGGTTTTGGAGAAGCTGAGCTTTGTTTCATATACATCAGGGTTAATCATATTTTAATCATAGTCATGTCTAATGGGTCAGGACATACTTCCCCTGCTGCAAGTGTAGCCAGATGTTGTGTCTTATTGAACTGCTCAAAGCCTTGAACGATAGTTTAAAAGCATACAGCCCTATCATGTGACCATACTTCTCTGATCAGACTTGCACAAAAGAGAGCTGGCAGATGAGAAAGCTGGGGTGGGGTGCAATTTGACACCACTATGGCCTTCTTTAACTGGTTATGGCCATTGGATTTTTTTTTTTTTGTTGTTGTTGTTGTGGTGGTTGTTGTGAAAATGTGATTCCTCAGATGAGGAGTCTTAAAGAGCAACTCCAGCGAATATAACAAACATGATCTTGAACTGTTATCTCGTATTTTGATCATTTCTGGCAAAGGATATTCTAGCGAATTTGCAAAAAAGTTGGAGGTTGGCCTCAGACGTGAGTCTGAGTCTGCCCACGACTTTCACAGCCATCACTGGAGCACAGAGGCTTTCACATGTGTAGGTTAATACATTGTGCAAATTGTTTGTATTGGACTGCCAGATTATTGTAAACATCCGATACCACTGTATGCAACCAAGTAAAGTTTCTTAGCTTGACAAAAGTGTCCAAGTGTGTTCAAAGTGTCTTTCATGCATCTGGTTTAAGAGGAGCATTTAAAAAATAGCTTCAATGAGCTTTAAATTCCATGCACACAGCACACAAATGGCCCACATTTAAACACATGCCAAGCAGAAACACAGCCTGTGTTATATGCTGCATTCGACTAGAACTCATAACTTGGAATTTGTGAACTCAGGACAGTCTCATCAACCCCGAGTTCAGCAAATGACCTCAAATCAACATGGCTGTTTACAGGATGAGCAATAAACAAAGTAGCACTTGTTTATTTTGAAATATTTATGCTGTGTGTAGAAGTATTTGCTTTAGATCAGTCGACATACAAACATGTTCTCTTGTTAAATCTATAACATTGAACTGTTTTGAGGAGGAAAATATACATCACTCATCAAAGTTAGCTAGCTAGCTTGTTGCTAACAAAAGACAAACATGGAGACGTCCATGTTTTTTTTTTCCTTCACTTTGTAGCTCAAACGCACGCCATACACGAATATGGCGTAATTTGGATTCCGCTTCCGAGCTAAGTCGAATGCAGCAGTAGAAAAGCCAAAAATTTGCTGTAGTTTTGTTTTGTTGAGAGCACAAATGCAGCACGCTCACTTTTAAGTATTTAAGCTGTCGAAGTGATCCAAATACACATCTCTGAATAGCTTCTAACTGCAAAAAGAAGGGTGACCACTCCCCCTGTGAAGGTGTTTAACAGACGGTGTAGCAGACGGTGTTTTAACATGAGAACATGACAACATGAAAAAATGGCAGCTGGAGTTGCTCTTTGAAGGAGACAAACACCACTTTACAATGGTCTAGCTTTAGCCTTTGACTAACTCCTGATACCCAGAAGATGTCTTTCTTTAATGCGGTGATAACATTCTGCTGTCCTGTTACCCCTTTTCCCCCCTTTTCCTCTCCGCTCACCTGCCTGCAAAGAATTTCTCTGGAAGTAATAACCGTCCTGTGTCGCTGTGAGAATATCGAAACATCGGAGGGCGTCCCCCTGGATGTGACCGGGGTGGCTCAGGTAATCCGATCCAGTCCAAGCAAACAATAAAAAAAAAAAAATACAGACAAACAAATCCACTGGACTGAACAACAACAGCAGGGCGGCTGGAGGCAAAATAAACAGTGGCAGCAGAAAGCTGGTCTGGAAATCTGTTTTCTCATGCGCATGTTTTTCTGCTTCCCCTGGTCTGGGCATACACACACTATTACTTACGCAGTGCTGCTTTTATGGTTTTCTTCTGTGGTGAAGGGGAAAGAGAGTCAGCTGTCACCAACACACTCTTGGCTTTTCTACGCCATCGTGCATTAAAGAATTCCATGTGCACTGTCTAAAGGGTAGATTTATACATAACACTGAAATAAATTCTGTATATTTGTTTATCTATAAAATCATAATGTGTAGTTTATTCATTTGCTGAGATGGGTCTGAGCATTTTAGTACAGCTTATAGGCAGTGCACGTGGATCACATGTCTGGAGTGAATGCTTTTTTTGTATGTTTTCATATCCTCCCTTATCTATTGTTCTTCCTCCCTTCTTTCTTCCTCCATTCCTTTCCATAGACCATCAGCCCAATTTTTTTGGTTTGTTCTTTCCTTTCTTTGCGTCTCCCGCAGGATAACACTAGAGATTATGACCCTGCAGCCCAAGTGTGAGGATGTTGAGACAGCGGAGGGGGTAGCGATTACAGTCACAGGGGTGGCACAGGTAAACCCAGAGCACCTCCTCTTTTTAACAGGCTTTTTTTCCCCCCTTGTTTTGCCCTTCAACCTATCCAATTTTCTAGCTCCAGTGCCAGACTTATTCACTCAAGCAACAAAAAAAAGCTGATCTTTGATTCTTGGTTTTTGATTGCACGGTTGGTCAGTGACTCATTTTCTGAGTACTGACTGGATGAATATAGAGTGAATTGGTTGGCTGTGGTTTATTAAAAGCTCACCAGCCCTAGCCATGCATGCAGCCTTTGTGATCTGAAGCATAAATCATGTGCATTAATCTGATTAACTGATCAGTAGATAAACTTTATTTAAAGCATGGTTTACTGATGATTATAACTATAAATCACTGTGAAAGGCAACCATAAAGAAACATTGATCAATAACATACCTATTACAATGACACTGATATTCATACATATATAATCATACATTATAAAGTGATTGGTTTCTTGCCATAACTGGAGGCTGGGCTTTGGACTGGATTTCACAGTGCAGTTTACTTGCTTTGTTAATTATTTCAAGGATGCCGAAAATCAGAAATCTTGAAAATCAGCTCCGGGGCAAGGAAAGGGGCTGTCTGTGCATCATCGATTTTAATTTTTTTATTTTATTTAATTTATTCCTTAATAAATTATGCTTGCTGCATGCTTATTTATTCCAGCGGAAGTTTTGCTCTACTTTATGGAACCGAATTTCCAACAGGCACCTAGTCCAGTTCTGCTTCAATAAATTTGCATCTCATTTGATTGACAAAAAAAAAAAAAATTAAACACTCCAAGAGACTTCACAAAGCTAGACGAGTGCTTCCTGCATGAACGTCTTTTTATTGTAGTACGTGACCCTGAGATTTAAACTTTTGAAATTGTAGCTCAGTGGTACATTTTCCACCACCATAAAACACGTTTTGATGATAATGATAAGCTAGTTAGAACAAACAATATTAACAATGATAAATGTGACTGCAAGCAGTGACTATGGGGTCCAAGCGCTATGTGATAGACCGTGGCAGTGCAGACATTATGACTTGATCCTTATCTCTGTCATGAAGATTGGACCAAATTTAGAAAATTAGGTGGAAGAGTAGCAAAAAATATTGTTACATGTCAAGATGGCGGACCTTCAACCAGTCATACCCTTAACCATAAACTCGTGAAAGAAGGAAATTGGAATTATAATTCTCTGACAAGTTCCAGGGTTATGGACTTTGGACAAATTGGTGAGAAGACTTTTGGGACCATGCTGAATCTGTATGGCAAATTTCATAA